CTAGTCGATGCGGATCGGGACTCGGTGCAGATGGTTCGATCGCTCGATGCAGTTTGCCGGCGCAGTGCAGATCGACCGGTGTAGTCGTTCGGCTCGATGATGTGCTCGGCACAGACACTCGGTGCAGCAGTACGTGAGCGCGGTGTGTGCATCATCCGCATGAGGGAAAACTTGCTTGCTGAGTTGATGAAGCCGGTCGGTGGAGGCAGGAGTACTGGCAGCGCGGGTCGACGTAGATGGGATCGCACTTATGTCGCCGGCTGGTGTTGACGCACTCGTATGCGTGGCCGGCTGCTGATGGCACGTATGTGGTGTTGATGTAGATCGCGCCGGGGAGGTGTCGGCCAGAGGCGGTCGCCGAGCCGAGGAAGATGTGCCTAACGGTGGATCTAGTTGCACCGATTTGTACAATTTCTCACCAGATTTGAGGGTGGTCAGATTTGTTGGCTAAAAGAAAGCAATCCGAGAAACTTCGAAAAATAAATTGATCTAATCTAAGGAATTGATCTATTCTACGGAGTTGATCGACTCTTTGACGATCGAGTACCACGCCCCCGGGGAGAGAAGATTAATCTCCCCGGGGGCGGCGCGCTGCGGAGGTGGTGGAAGAACCTAGGATCGGCGTTGTTGGACAAACCGCTCTGATACCATGTAGAAAATATAGGATGGATGAATATTGTGTTGTTGTATGTTGTATTGATCTAACCCTCGTAGGGGTATATATAGAAGTACAATAGGGAGAGAGACTTGGAGTACAATGCAAGACATTGTTTAAACCTATCTTATCTCTAGTTACACTTATCTCTACACAATTATATTTCTAACAGTTTCTTCACTAGAAAAACAATGCATAGGGTTCAGACTTTTCACTGGAGAAATATTATACATGGTTTAAACTTCAGACAAACTGTCTTGCCACATCCCATTCTTAGCTCTGAATCCAATTCATCATGTTTATTCAAACAGGACTAGGATTTCTGACGGCCAGAATTTAGTCTGTGCAAAGGTTGTCAAACACAAAAGGAAAGATTCTATCCTTTCAGTCATGACACACTATACTGCACGCACACGCAATTTCTTCACTAGAGAAACATTCTTGTACAGGTTTCAGACATCTGGAGACAAGCAAATTTGTTCTGAATTAATGCAACGCCCCTTGTCTGAATTATTGCTCGCAGCCATAATTCATTCTGAACACTGATATTAAGAAATAGGATTATATTCTGAACCACCCAATTCAGATGGGTGTTTGCTCTACTAACTGTACAAAGTAACAGAACACTGCGTTTGCTTCAGAGGAGATGAACAAGCAAGCGTACTAGTTGGTTGCTGGTTGACTCATTACTCGGGGTCGTCGTAGGACCTTACGACACTACTTTATCTTCAGTATTTGGACCTTGCCTGCAATAACCTAACGGGGAGCATACCAAAATCAATTTTTAATTACAAAGGGATGATACTAGTGACAGAAGACTATGATGCATTTCAAGGTGCTTTGGGCTATGGATGGCCAATTGGTCTTACCTATACTGAGAATTTCACGGTACTCACGAAGGGTGAACATAGATTATATACAGGAGAGATCATATATATCGTGAATTTTGATTTATCGTGTAATAGTCTCATTGGAGATATCCCCGAAGAAGTCAGCTATCTTGTCCAATTGACGAACCTGAACTTATCATGGAACACCTTCGCTGGAAAAATTCCAGAGAGTATTGGCTCGTCGGCGCAAGTAGAGTCGCTCGACCTATCACATAATGAGTTGTCTGGTGACATCCCTTCACGCTTGTCGGGTCTCACGTCTTTAAGTCGCTTGAACCTGTCCTATAACAAGCTGAAAGGAGAGGTGCCATCAGGAATCAACTGCAAACACTTGAGGACCCTGAATAAATTTATATTGGCAATCCGGGCCTCTGTGGTCCTACACTCCCGCAGAAATGTTCACAGCCCGAGCCAGTTCTAGCTACTCAAGAACACCATGAAGATTTGAACGATGTGGCATCGTTTTTCATCGCTATGGGTTCTGGGTATGTAATGGGCCTCTGGGTAGTCTTCTGCACATTCTTGTTCAAGAAGAAATGGAGAATTAAGTGGTACTCCATCTGTGACAAGTTCTATGACTGGGTCTATGTGCTGGTGGTCGTTACCTGGGCTTCCTGGACAAGAGAAACAATTGCAGAAGCTGAGAATGGCAACTAGCTCTCTGGTTCTTCATTTAGTACTATGTAGAGTGTGTGGCTTTACATGTATCATTGTTATTAAGTACTCTTACTCTTCATAGATATATAAATTTGAGGATTATGTTGTAGAGTAAGGTTTGGATATGTAAGTTGATGCACAATGAATAATGCCAGGGGCAGCACCAAGTCCCCTGTTCCGTGTGTGTGTGTGTGTGTGTGTGTGTGTCAATGTGTGAAGTTGTTATAAGCCACGAAAGCTGTATAAGGTGAGTAGCCACAGGCAACAGCAAAGCTCGACGCTTTCATTCGCTGCACTATACTGGGCACAAACACAGTTTCTTCCCTAGAGAAACAATGCCAGGGGTTCAGAGTTTTTCAGACAAACTAGTTTTGCCACAAATTGTTCTCAAGCTCTGTACCCAACCCATCATGTCTGTTCAAATATGGCTAGGATTTTTTACAGCCATAATTAAGTATGCGCAAACGGTGTCAAACACAAGTGATTTTACTTCGTCGATTATTTCACTCGATGCACTATACTGGGTACAGCCGCAAGTACTTCAGTTTCAGATGTAGTTACAGACTAACTTGCCTGAATGAGCCACAATTAAGTTTGTGCAAAGAGTCCACAAGTGAGAATACTGCATGATAGGATTTAGTATGTCGACTGAACCATTTGATTTCTTCAAACAATCGAGGTCACTTACACGGTATTTCATTTAATGTAGAGAGTGACAGACTAGATACATAGAACAATGTGTTTGTTACAGAGGAGGCACTGGCAGAAGAGGAACAGGTAAGCGTAGTACTAGTTGGTTGGCTCTTTACTCGGGGTCGTCGTAGGAGAGGCGGAAGGCGGTGGCGCAGTTTCTTCACTAGAGTAACAATGTACTACAGGCTTTACACTCTTCACTAGAGAGACATTGTACAGGTTTCAGACTTGTTGAGACAAGCTAATTTGTTCCAAATTAATGCAAATACTCCTTGTCTGAATTATTGCTCGCAGCCATAATTCATTCTGACGATTTTATTCTCAACACTGGTATTACAGGATAGGATTTTTATTCTGAACCCTGATTTATACACACAATTCAGGTGGGTGTTTGCTCTACTGACTGTACAAAGTAACAGAACACTGGGTTCGCTTCAGAGGAGAGGAACAAAGCAAGCGTACTCGACTGTTGGTTGGCTCTTTCTTTACTCGGGGTCGTCGTAGGAGAGGTGGAATCCGGTGGCGCAGCCGGCGGCGTCGGGGTCCTCGGCGCCGCAGCAGTCGTAGAACTTGGCGGCGTACGGAGGATCGCCGTCTTTGAGCTCGTAGTACCTACAGCAGCGTCGCCATGCTCAGATCTAGCGGATTGATGATGGAAGAGTGGGGATCGGAGTGGCTACCTCTTCTGGTCGTCGTGGCGGCGGCAGACGAAGAAGGAGGGGTGGAACCTGCAGGACCGCGGCGTGTTGTCCGACGGGGAGTACTTCGCCTTGCACCGCCGGCACACCCTCGCCGCCGCTGTCGCCGTCGCCGTCGTCGCCGTGTCTTTCTCCATCGGACACTTCTCCCGATTCTTCTTTGGGAAATACTTTCTTTTTTTTGCCGAGGGGTGTCTCAAATCGAGATTTCCGGGCAGGCCTGGCCGATCTTTGCGTGGGCCATCCTATGGTATGGGCCACCATATGAGCCCACGGCATGATGGGCCCGCGGATCAGATCATCCAACGAGATCACTCTCATTGCTGAAAATATTGTCTCAAAAAAAAAACCTCATTGCTCAAGGTCATTCTTACATACTACTCCCTCCGTCGCAAAATAAGTGACTCGCCTTTGTATTAACTTTGTACTGAAGCTAGTACTCCCTCCATCCCAAAATTTTTATCTTAAATTCGTCTAGATACAGATGTATCTAATACTAAAACATGACTTGATACATCCGTATTTAGACAAATCTAAGACAAGAATTTTGGGACGGAGGGAGTACAAAGTTGAGTCGCTTAATTTGGGACGGAGGGAGTACTTATTAAGGTTCACTAAAAAAAACTTATTAAGGTCATTGATGTCAAGAATAAAATTCACTATCTCTCCTTACATTATTTTTCCTTCACACGATGCATCTGGAATTAAAAAATGGTGCCTGGAGTATTTGGTTCCCTTTCCATTTCCTAGATCAACATCCATCCATCCATCAAAAATTGTGGTGTTTCACTCCTCCTTCATCCACCCCTTGTACTAGCTCCTTTGACTTTGATCCGTCCTACCATATTGCGCTGATGCACTCTGTCTAATTGTCCAAGGACGAAAAGGTATGACCATTATGTGAGTGCTTGGATTGCCTTTTGTCTAGGCCACTACTGGCCAGGTTGTTGCATTATTGAGCTGATTAATCCCACGAGGAGCGGTACGGATCCAGTAATCATCAAAGACACCGGGATGAATCGAATCGTTGACGATGAATTAACTTAATTCATCAAGCTATATTGTGCCTTGCTACCCAACCGAGATTAACTATAGCTCATTAATTACAATTGATGGCGCATATGGTTAACAACACATCACGCACACACAACTAAAGAATTTTCTCCGGCAAGACTTCTTGATGTTTCAAGCTTCTAGGGAAGGCTCCCCGCGAGCATAATTTCATGGTGTCACAATAGTTTTGCAACGTCACGTAGAAAGTGAGAAGAGATCATCACGCCCCAAAAAAGGATGCACCTTTTGATCACAACTTTTCGGCCTATGCGACCACTTTGTCAAGCTATTGAAAACCAAACCACAATGGCAGTGTCTAGCTAGACCATGCGCCCTCGACACTAGCGTTCGTATGAATGTGAAAAACAGATGCTGGCAGCCTTCGTATGCATGGTTGGATCAAGGTGTTATCTTACTTTTATTACCACCATAGACGACGACATCGCTAATGGTCCACCAATTAGTGACTGGATTTCACAAATACAAATGGGAGCTAGCTGGAGATCGCCTTTCATCACCTAAGACCAGGCGCCCACGATCAATAACTTTAACAGTTGTATAGTTTAGATATGTGTTACATATCTCTCATAGAGAGTGGCGTTTTGGCTCCTAGGTGCATATGCACCCATTGTCGAAATCCAAATTTCTAGAAGTTGAAAAATTCGAAAAAAAATCCCGTGTGTATATCCGGACATTTTATGTGCGTTCACAAGGTTTCGGTGAAAAACGACGTTTTTTGTGGCTTGTGTAAAAAAGACAATTTCTGATGCTTCATTCTAACTATTCACGAGGCATTTCTTTATCTTTTTTACACAAGCCACAAAAAACGTCGTTTTTCACTGAAATCTTGTGAACGCACATAAAATGTCCGGATATACACGCGGGATTTTTGTTTCAAATTTTTTAACTTCTCGGAATTTGGATTTCGACAATGGGTTCAACTTCTAGGAATTTGGATTTCGACAATGGGTGCATATGCACCTAGGAGCCAAAACGCCACTCTCCCTCTCTCATAAGCATATATAATACGTCTAGATTAATACGTCTAGATTTGACTGAGACCAGCTCAGGTATATACATAATTTGCAAAAAAGGTAGACTGAAAAATCTTGTTTAACACGCATGATTGATCAAGGATTATGTATGTATGTCATTTAGATAAATTAGATCAGCAAGAGGGAAATAGGGAGAGGAGTGGCATCACAAACTTTAAGACGTCGATTGGATGGGGATATTGTTGCCAGAAGAGATGCATCGGGATCCCATGGGATGGGTGTATGTTCTCACTCGCACAATTTTAAATCAAAATGTTTGTTTATTATGATAAATCTAAATGTTGTTGGAGATTCTAGCTCTTGCATATGAAGGGTCGTTATTATTCGGTTCCCATCTCCTTGGATGAGAGAATACACTAAGAGATTCTTGATGGGATGGATTCATGTTGGATTGCCCTCTCTCTCTAGCATCTAGTAACCACAGATTTAGCTGACTTTGATCCATGCACCCACCAACGTTGCTCTACTCCTTGATCGTCTCTGTCTATCTAAAGGAAAATGCAAGTGTCCGGATTGCGTAGGCCACTACTACTAGCCAGGTTGTTGCATTATTGAGGTGATTAATCCCGCTAGCTAGCACCTCCATAGTAATCATCTCAGACACCAGCAGAATGGAATCTTTGACAAGGAATTCAATTAACTAAGAAATGGTGCCTTGCTATCCGACCGGGCTTAGCCCATTAATTACTATCACACATATGATTAACAACACATCACGCGTCCCGCGAGCTCAGAACTAAAGCAGTTCCTCCGACAAAGCACGATGGTGTTATTGTTATTGCCACAGACGACGACATCGCTAACCGTCCACCAATTGGTGACTGGATTTGCCAATACAAATGGGAGCTAGCTGGCCGAAGATCAAGCTTCCACCATCCAAGATCAGGCGCCCACGATTAACAATCTTTACAGTCAACCGTCTAGAATCGACGGAGACCCGGTCCATATGCATAACTAACAAGAGGGGACACTAAGGACCGACCCGATTCCCATGGGCATATGTCCTCTCTCACACCATTTTAAATCCAACTGTTTGCTTCTTTGTTTTTAATCCAAATGTTGTTAGATATGCTAGCTCTTATATATGAGTGGTCGTTTTTATTCGGATCCCTTTTCCTAGATGGACAGAATGAATATACTAAGAGGTTCTTGATGGGATGGATCCATGCATGTTGGATTGCCTCTCCATTCATCTGTACGTAACAATTGCTTCTAGCTAGCCACACATATAGCTGACTTTGTTGAGCCATTTGTCCATGTTGCTCTTCCCCTTGATCGTCTCCATCTCTCTAAAGAAAATGAAAAGGCAATCATGTATGCAAGAGAGTGCATCGCATAGGCCACTACTAGGCAGGTTGTTGCATTATTGAGTTGATTAACCCCACTATCTAGCTCCTCTACCAGGGGTAGTACGGATCGAGTAGTAATCGTCGAATGAGACCAGCAGGAATGGAATATTTAATGAGGAATTCATCGATATAATCTATGGTGCCTTGCTATCTGACCGGGTTTAGTTCATTAATTACTGTGGCACACATGATTAACAATACATCACGCTTCCGGCGAGAGCACAACTAAAACAATTCGTCCGACAAAGCACGATGTTTTGATTGTTATTACTACCATAGATGACGACATCGCTAACCGTCCACCGATTAGTGACTGGGTTTTCCAAATACAAATGGGACATAGCTGGAGATCATGCTTCCAGCACCCAAAATCAGGCGCCCACCATTAACAATCTTTACAGCCAGACGTCTAGAACCGACGAAGAGTCGGTCTGTATGCATAAATTACAAGAAAACACAAATGATTTACTCATGTTCTTTTCATAGATTTCTCGACTACGTGTCATGCATTTCGCAATCATCAAAATGAAAACAATCCCTCCGACAAGAGCTCGTGGTTTTTTACTATTACGGCATCCACCAATTAGTGACTGAGTTTTCCAACACTAATGGAAGATTATATCTTTGCTTCCATCACCTAAGATCGAGCCCCCGCGATTAACAATTTTACAACCATAGGTTCGTGTTTCATGCCTCCCTAAGCACACATACTTACGTCTGTAATTGACAAAGACCGGCTTGTATATGCACATAATTTGCAGAAAGTGTGGGAAAGCTTGTTTAGCATGCATGATTAAGGCTATAATTTATGTTGTCCTAGTATAGATTGCACTCCCTCCGTTCCTAAATATAAGTCTTTTTAGAGAATCCATTATGAACTACATACGGAGCAAATTGAATGAATCTATACTCTAAAATATGTTTATACATCCGTATGTAGTTTGTAGTGAAATCTCTAAAAAGACTTACATTTAGGAATGGAGGGAGTAGTATAGAAGGGAAACCGCGTAGGTTGACCCGATTCCCCCACGACATCAGCAGATCGAGAACTGAAAAGAGAGAGAGAGGAGTGACATCATGGCTTACATCGATTGGATAGTGAGTTCCGGGACGGTACACCGGGATCCCATTGGAAGTGTGCCACGTGTCCCGTCTTTTGTATATTATTAGTACTAGTCTTTCTAGTCATCAGCCAAATAATTGAGCTGCAGTAGAATGTCCCCTCTACAGCTGCAGCTCAGCTTAGCTCCAACCTTTCTTTATTTCCTTCTTTTCATTCTTTCTCACTAACTGTTTGACCTGTCGGAGCAGATACTATCTTACTTGGCCAAGATTTTTCTTGTGTGAAAAAATTGGGACCCACATCACCCTGCATGGTAGTAAGTACCGCATCAAGACAGGACAGTCGAGGCTGTCGACCTTTCTTGTCTAGTTAAAATTCGTCCATCCAATCGCTGGAAAGTAGCGTGGAATTTTTTTGCACCTGATGGATACAGCACTCTGCGTAATTAAGCATTATTATTTAGTTCTTTTAAGAACATGCCCCTAGTTAAGTGCAAGCTCAGCAACCCTATGCTCCTGCAAATTCTCAACTCTGCTCCTTGCTTCTCGACTAAAGTGAAGTGCATTCTAGCTAGGTCCTCGAACTATTTCGAAGGTGTCATGTAGGTCGTCAAACTAAGAAAAATGTTATCTAGGTCCTAAAAAATCCTTGAAGTGTAATAAGTGTGTATATATGAGACACCTCTGAAATAGTTCAAGGACCTATGTGACACCTTTAAAATAGTTTGAGGATCAGGATGACACACATATTGCACTTTGAGGACCTGGATGATGATTTTCATAGTTCAAGGACCTATGTGACACCTCTAAAATAGTCTGAGGACCTGTGATTCACTTCACTCTCTCGACTAACATCTCCACCGTTGTAGTTTTTTTAAACTTTTGATCTATTCATCAAACATCATGGCAGTACAATGAACATGGAAAGTAACAAAAATTACACCCATGTCCGTAGACCACCTAACGACGACTACAAGCAGTGGAGCGAGCAGAAGGCGCACCACCGACATCGCCCCTTTCTCACTGGAGCCAGACATACCTTGTTATAGTACATAGTCGGAAGGTCGTTGTGCTAAGACCCCAAAGGACCAGCGCACCAGAACAACAACCACCGCCAATTAATAGAATCGTAGATCAGAAGGACCCGGCCTGTAAACACATGAACACATACAAACGAAGAACGGATCCACATAGATCCACTGAAAACAAATACCGACCGAATCTCATGAGTTCCGTCGGAGACACACCTCCACACGTCCTTTGACGATGCAAGACGCACCATCGAGACACGGGGCAGGGAGAACCTTATTCTATCTTCAAAGAGTTGTTGTCGACTCGCCTTCCTGAGCAGGATACAAACCATAAACAGACTAAAAAAGCACCTAAAATGAAGATGCAGCCCTCCCACCGGCAAGGGCCAGGATCCACCACGCCTCCATGGCCCTAAGGCCATGGGAGACGACGTAGATCGGTGGCGCCGGCGGCGGGAGGTAGAGAAACCCTAAACGCCTAGGAGCCTTTCATTATTTCCCGGGAAGAAAGGAAACACTAGCCCAACTTGTTGACACATATCGTCGTAGTTTGGCATTCAGCAAAATGTTCGGCTACGAACTTCTCACTTGTCAACATCCCACGTTGCTTGGTTTTGCCAAATGGATGAAGGAGAGAGATAGATGACAAGCAGAGTAGTGGAGGAGGGGGGGGAGGGGGTGTCATATGTGAGAGACAATGAAGGCAAGAGCTAGAGAAGGAGCACCCAAGGGATCAAGGGGCTACTAGCAAAGAGCCGGCTTTGCCCGGTTGGGCTGCCCAACCGTCGGCCTAGATCAGGGATCTTCCTTCTCGCACCTCAAGATCATGTCCTATGTAGTGAGCTACTATCGTGACAATTCAGTGGGACCTTATACTCGACGTGTCGGTGAAAGCAATCCAGTGGCTAATCTTCTGGTTTGCCTGCTAAACCGTTAACCATTGAAGGCGCTTCAACGAGTGGACGGTGACAAATTTTAAAAAAAAATAGAAGTTGTGGAGAAATGTATTGATAATAGTTGGCCCATACCGTGGATTTAATTAGTGAAAATGATGGGTCCACATGTGGGGACAGGTGGAGTGGTACTGGCACAAGTGGACATGTGGGACCACCGGCGCCAGCTCAGAGTCTTAAGTGCACTACCTGTGTACACAGACGCATGCGTGTGTACGTACACGTTTATCCAGCACCCTCGTGTCCGTCCCTGGACCAAACAACGCTAGGTAGACATATACAGATAAGATGTACGTGCTCCGTATCTCTTCATTCTTGCCTTGGTAGTAGATGAAGATGAACAACTAAAGAGATCAGTTGCTTCATGGATTTGGAACAAGAAACTAACTAATGGCTTTGTTCATAGGGGTCAGGTGTGGGTGCGTGTGTTTTTATGGATAAGCGTATGTAAATGATATCTACGTCTATACTGTGTTAAAAAAAACTAATCCTTCCGTTCCTAAATATAAGTGTTTGTAGAGATTTCATTATGGACTACGTACGAAGCAAAATGAGTGAATTACACTCTAAAATGCATCTACATACATTCGTATGTGGTCCATAGTGAAATCTTCACAAAGACTTATATTTCGGAACGGAGGGAGTAACTAATGGCTTTGTTAATCTGCAAGTATGAACATGTATCACACATGAGATTGATTTAATCAAACTGGTTGACTCGGGAGAGAGAAGGTAGACGAAGCCACGAGAGGAGATCGCCCAGAATCTTCTCTCCAGCCAACAATAGCTAATACCCACATCTTAATTAGCAACAAATTGCTAATCAAAATCAACTATAGTAGATGAAGATTAATGGATAATTATTATATAGTCCCTACCCAAGCAGCTAGGAGGAGGAAGAAGACCAAGACCAACGCAACACAACTCAACACAACAGTAGGCTATATATACGTGCCCACACCGGCCGGGCTACCTCTCATCCCCCTTCCGGCCGGCACATACATAAACTCGCCCATCTAGATTCTCTACCACCGTTGATCGACCGAGAGACAGACAGACAGACATGGAGCAGCAGGAGGAGGCACCGACGTCGACGACGATGACGGTGTCGCTGGCCACGTCGCCCAAGCCGGCGCCGGCGAGCAACGGCAGCAAGAAGCAGCTGCCGTCGCGATTCCGCCGGGTGTGCGTCTTCTGCGGGAGCAGCCCGGGGAGGAAGCCGGCGTACCAGCTGGCCGCCGTGCAGCTCGGGCAGCAGCTGGTGGAGCGCGGCATCGACCTCGTGTACGGCGGCGGCAGCGTGGGGCTGATGGGCCTGGTGTCCCGCGCCGTGCACGGCGGCGGCGGGCGCGTCACGGGCGTCGTGCCCCGGTCAGTGCTCCCGCGCGAGCTCATCGGCGAGACGCCCGGCGGCGAGGAGGTGAAGGCCGTGTCCGGCATGCACCAGCGCAAGGCCGAGATGGCCCGCCGCGCCGACGCCTTCGTGGCGCTCCCCGGCGGCTACGGCACGCTGGAGGAGCTGCTGGAGGTCATCACCTGGGCGCAGCTCGGCATCCACGAGAAGCCCGTGGGCCTGCTGAACGTGGAGGGGTACTACGACTCGCTGCTGGACTTCATCGACAGGGCGGTGGACGAGGGGTTCGTGTCGCCGGCGGCAAGGCGCATCATCGTCGCGGCGCCCACGCCCGGCGAGCTGCTGGCGGCGCTGGAGGAGTACGCGCCGGCGCACCAGGACGCATCCGCCATCAAGCTCAGCTGGGAGTCGTCGGTGGACACCATGGCGTGCTCGCCGCCCAGGCCGGACATCTCGCGCTAGCCGGCCGGCGGCCGGATCAACTCACCACCACCAACCACCAACCCAAGATTAGTTGACAAACACGCACATATCAGACTCTAGATTATATATCCATTACCATCCAACCAAACATAGATATTCATCATCCGTATACATATACTCTGTAAATACTTTAGATATCTTGGATTAATGAATTAGGTACCATATCATTCTGTGGCCCGTATGGTTGAATGTATGCAAATACTCTATGTTCTTGTGCTTGTGCATGGCTGACTTTCATTCTACTTGTGATGTTTATGCATCTTCTGTTCCCATTTCTGGGGAGAGAAGCTCATTTCCATTTGGGGTTTGATATGATTCGGATCCACAGCAGCAGCGGCAACATGATTGATCGATTGATTGCACCGCAAAAAAGATAGATAGATGGATGAGAGGAGGATTGATGATGGATGTGGCGTCCCCAACCATCGGAAAAGTTGGGAAGGGGACAAGTGAGGTCGATCCATTCATGTCCATGTCCATCTGTCCTCTCTTTCCCTCCGCAATTTGCATCTTAGCTGCATGGGTGTGCGTGTGTGAGGTCGCCAATTCAGGCACGTGGATGCACTACCATGGAACCAGCACTAGTGGCCGGGACCTGGTGCTGTGGAGGATAGGCCGGCAGTAACCAACCAAGTACTATCCACAACCAACACAATAGACAAAGAATGATTGACAATGCTCACTACTCAAGTCACCCTCACCAATTCTTCTCATCAATTATCCTCCTTGTGGCTAGCTAACAAGCCCCCACCCCCCCTCTCAGGTCACCAAATAAGTTTTTTCAGGTCTCCGAAATTGGGAGGCCCACAATCCCCACCTAAAATAAAATATCTGCATTTCAAGTCACTGGTTGAAGCCTACTGACGCCACCCAAGCTGCGCGGCGCGGCCGATACGAATGTCGTCGTCGTGCACCGATCCGGTAACTCTGAAGTTCCGACACCACATCTGAGTTGCGACACTAGATGAGGAACGAGAGAGGCGGGAGGAAAAAACATGATGAAAATTGAACCATGTGTCATAAGAAAATAGTGGCTGAGTAATGGAGACAACTACTTGAGTCGGAGGCATTTTCTAGGCTCTCGGAAACGGGAGGTGGCCCCCGTTTAGCCTTTAGGGGCTCTGAAATGGGGGCTATTGCTAGAGAGGCTAATATAATTGCATGTTTCAACATGAGTTAGTACAATTCGCCTTCAATTCAAGAGCCCTAATGAAACTTGATTAAATTTGGAAAAGGTTCAAATTGGTACCCCTCCTTAGGTGGTGTCGTTCGGTCTAACACCGGTGACACACACACAGTGGCGGAGTGTGAACCAAATATTAGAGAGGGCCAAAGTAAGTGTATGATATGAACAAGCCTAGGGTGATTAGGGA